CTGACCTTCACGAAGTTCAAGAATAATCTCTATTTTTCATCTTTAGTTATTTCAGTGCTGAGAAAGCTGTTACAACATATTCAACCGTGCATGCTCACTTTTACCAAGATTCTGCACACACACACACACACACACACACACACACACAGTCACAAACACACATTCAGTCGCTTTGGAAAACATCTGACATCAGAATATATAAAAGCATTTCTCCTTCTCCCTCTCAGCCACATGCAGTTTTCTGTGAATGGTATAAAGTCATATTTTCCCCCTTAATGCTGGAGTCGATATAATTGAGGTGGACTGGGAAAACTTACTGCCTTAAATGGAAAATAAGACCCATAAAAATAATACTGACAGTTCTGGTTCCATTCATCACACAACACACACACACACACACACACACACACACACACACACACACACACACACACACACACACACACACACACACACACACACACAGCACATGCAGAAAGATTTCAATACATACGTACAAAACTTTAACCTGCTTTTATGCTGAAGAATGAATCTTTGTGTGCAGGTTAGGGAAATGCTGCTGCTGCTCTCATTTTCCTGGCCGCTGAACACATTTGTGACAAAATTCTCTATTTTTAAGAAGCTGCACAGTCATATTAGTGGACAGTAACGGTTAAAGTTAAGTTTCCGTTTCCCCATCCGTACTAAAGAAATCTGTGTTGGATCCCCTCTTAAACATGTTTGATTAGATGTTTGCTTCATTGTTTAGTTTGTATTGTATGACTAAGGTAAAGCTTTGGGTTTCTGACCGTTACGGAAAGGCCAAATGAATTAAATTGTCTGCACATTATTTGTTTTGTTTTAATGCTTCGAATAAAGCCCTTGTCGTCATGAGAGAGGAAGAGTGTGCACATAATGAAAGCAAGAGTGAGGAAATGGTAGCGTTGCAGAGGAGTTTAATTCCTCCGCTGTCGACAGAAGAGTAGGAGGTGAGGCTGAAAAACACAGAAAGAGATAAGGGACAATTGCTGGAAGGATGAAAACTTTAACATCTGTAGTGTTTAATGCATAACAAGGAAAAAGATGAGCAATTTGTGAGCAATTGAAATATTTTTATTGAGTGTTTTTTGTGGTTAATGTGTCATGCAAAACCAACAGACTTAAAACGACACACCTAACAGACAAAAGTGATATCAGTTATTTAACTGTAAGGAGCATAGCCCTAACTAACATGAATCAACCTACAGTAATAATGTGTCATAGAATACTTTGGCATGTCCTTTTGAACTTGTTGTTTTTTTAATAAAGATAATGTGTTTGTGGTCTCGGTAAACAAAAGTTACAATGTGTTGCAAGAATCAGCAACTTATGTAGATATGTCCGTAGTAAGCAACAAAAAACAGACAAGGTGTCAAGGACGGCAAAGAGGGGATGTGTGTTTGTGTTTGTTAGTGCATGCCATGATGTGTCAGTATAAAGTGACTCACAGATCAATGTGTTTGATGGGAATCACTGCAACTTTTTTGCAATTGTGTTTTTTTCCGAATACGTATGTGTTCTTAGGAATATGCCTAAAATAACCAACTCAAACCACCTACCACCCATAGTGCTTTTTCTTTTTTTTCTCACCCCTGCGCCGGAAATTTAATGTGCATTGTCGTGTGATCCTCCTAAAGCCCTTATGTGTCCTGTTTGTACTGCACTGTTTTTCTGAAGTTTCTGTTTTGTGTATTTTTATCTACTTTTCTTGTATTACAGCACCTCAAAATCAGGTTAAATAAAAAACATCAATTGTGATTTTATAATCATGATAATTCTAAAAACAAATCTGGTTAACTGTGAATGTAATAAATGACAATTACTGTATAGATGGTGAGTTTCCACTGGGTTTTTTTCCACTCATGTTTTTTTTGTATGATGAGGGGCTGCAACTAACGATATATATATATATATATATATATATGTGTGTGTGTTTCAAGATCTATTCATCCACAAATACCACAAAATGGTCAAAAATCCCATTATCCCAAACAGGCTGTCATCTAAAAACGTTTTATTTATCCCACCTGCTGTGGACACAAAGATAATAGTTTAACATTTAAGTCAACCAAATTTCCCCCAGGGATAAATAAAGCATGTGTGATTCTGAACTTAAAGGTAGACAAACCTCTAGACAAGCTGTAACCAGGTGTGTGTGTGTGTGTGTGTGTGTGTGTGGCCCCTTCACTTCCTCCCTCTTCTGTGTCGTTAGCTGCATAACACATGCTGTACAACGCAAAATTCATCGAGGATTCATATAAAAAATGTGTTGTCCTAAAAAAACAAGTAGTAAATATCTGTGTTGTTGACAGTGATATTTTATGTAACACACTCGGAGATGTTTAGCATACTTGGTTTCAAAGGAAGACTTTTGTGCACTCATTTGTCTCCGTTTTTTGGTGTAATATGGTTTAACCCTCATATTGCACCTACCTGAGTGTTTGTTCCTTGGTGCTGTATGACTCATAATGACAATATGATTTTGATTCTTAAGTGATTGTTCAACTTTGACATGAAGTTGACTAAAAATAAAAGGTATTACTGAAATGGTTTGGTAGAATTCAATGGTGTCCTTATCAAACTACTTAATTTTTTCTTTGTGGTCTACAGCCCCCAAAGTTTTTTTTTTTATTCTTAATGTCCTCAGACACGCATAACCCCTTCAACCTGTTGACTTCTTTTTGTAATGGGAGAGGTCGACGTGGAGATCGTGTTTATCGGAAATTGTTCGGAAAATAGGCCGTTGGTTTTTGGCAAGAGGGGGCGCGTAGGCGACTTTGGGGGGGAGGGGTATCTCTGAATCTGCTTTCGTCACTAAGCACCCTCTTTTGATACAACAGGAAGGAGAGTTAGTGACAGAATGTGCAAAAGAGGTAGACATCCCCAAGGATCAACGCTTTACACCAACTTCTGACATTGAGATCGACCTTTACGTTACACATCTAAAGGAAGAGGGAAATAGGAAAATAAAGTGGTTTTCTAAAACAGCGAGGAGAAGTCGAGCGAGAGGAGTTGTAGAGAACAGAGCGATGGATGCCATGAGAATCACGCTGCCTCGCCTCCAGCTGACTGTGCCAATGCCCATGAAGATAGAGAAGGTATGGTTAACGTTTGAGTCTTCTGGTTGTTTTGACACTTCCTGGAATGACAATGGGAACATTTGCGACGCTTGATATCGATTAGAGCCATGGGAAGGATTTTGAAAAAGTGCTGGCAAGTTGAGAAGTATTTATTTTATTGGCTGTACCTCAGACATTTTTCTTCCTTAAAGGGGTGGAGTATATTAATACGTGTATGTGTTTAAAATAGGCCGGGATTAAGATTGTCACATAACAGGTTAATTCGAACAACAGTGGGTGGGGGGAGCCACAGGTTGGCACGCAATGTGTGCATGTGTGCATTTGTGTTTTATACTGGTGGTGTATGTACTCCAGTGCGTGTGTGTTTAATAGGGTGTGTTTTGGAGCAGGTTAGTCAGGTGGCTGTACCGTCATTGTGCAAAGCCCTCTGGGCTATGTGTGAACACTGTTATTGGATGGCTAGGGGGCTGCCAGTTGCTATGGGAGGGAGATAAAGGGCAGGGAGGGGGGATCTGGAGGGTGAGTTGTTTGTGGAAAATCTGGTCCGCTCAGGTGTGTTAAGAGATATTGTTGAGCAGGTATATTGTGGACTGGGTGAGGTGCGAGCTTAGGGAGCCAGAGAAGGGAGTTGTTGGGACTTATTCATGTCGGCCCTTGTAATGACACTCAAAGAGAAATAAAGTTATTGGCCTTGACTTTGCAACATTTTATCTTTAGCGAAACACTGGCATGGGATTAAAAGGACTAAAAAACTATTTTAATGTATATAGAGCCCCAAGTCACAGCAAACGATATTTCAGGACACAAAAATAGCAGGTCTATAATGTATTCTTTCTGAAATGATTTCCAGAGACCAAACACGAGTACACCAAAGGCAAGCACTTGGAAACAATGGCACGAAAGAAAACAAAAAGAAATCTAGCATCTTGCTAGACTGGATATGTTTTAAGTCTAACTTTAATTCTAATTCTTTTTTTTTTTTTTTTTGAGTGCTGTTTTTTCCTTCCTCATTCTTTGGGTGGTTCTCCCCCCTTTGACCTAGTCTAGCCTGTCACTTCCTCCCTTTCCCTAAGTCGCTCTTCTTCTCTCTGTCTTCCCTTCGTCAGTCCCCTTTCTTCTTCAGGTATTTTAATTAACTTGCTAATGCTATAAAGGTTTCACACAGGAATTAACCTACTGCAGTTGGTTACAGCACCTTCAGCGCATTACATAATCCTGCATCCTTTTTGATTCCCTGCTATTGATCATTTGATTATATATAGAGTATATATCCTTGGTCTTATGAATATTTGATCTTCTCCTTGTTGTTAAATTTCCCTCCCCTGCTGGCTGTCATTTCGATCGAAATTGTCCTCCAGGGCCCCAACCCCCCATCTCACTGGCCCAAAATCACCGCCTCCTTATTTAGTAATCTGTAGAGAAAGTACTGAGAGTGGGGAGGGAAGGATAAAGGGGGGAGAGTTGCTGCTAAGCCTGGTTTAAATTGCCCTTTACATGAACGAACCTCCTTGTCTCAGTCACGCTACAGTGGATTTACTTTTAAACACTTCAAATTGTATAAACAGCTCTCTGACATAAAGAAAGGCTGTTGATTATTCATTCAAGTTATGTCTGACAGGAAACAGATTTCATGCCTATTCAAAGCATTATGATGGGTACAGACGATGCACCACACTGCTGTTGTTTGTAATTGTCACACCATAATTAACATTGATTCTTTGGAGGATATTTGACTAGTGTATTAGTGCATTGACTGGTTTACTCTCTGATACCTGATTCATTATTGTAGGCAGTATCTGAGGCTGATTCTGATACTTTGATCAGTACCAAAGCAACTCTTTACAAAGGGTCATTTGGACTTCCTCCCCTCCTCTAACCTCATTTTTTCTTTCTCTATCCTAGGTGGCGATGTCTCCAGGAGAGGACGGTCTGATTGGGATCCCCTTCCCGGAGCACAGCAGTGAGATCTTGGCCCACCTGAATGACCAAAGGAGGGCAGGGCTCTTGTGTGACCTCACCCTGACATCTCGTGGGGCACGCTACCAAACTCATCGCTCCGTCATGGCGGCTGTCAGTCTCTACTTTCGCCGGTTGTTTGGGGCAGAGGAGGGCGGCGGCGAGGGTGGAGGAGGTTTCAGCGTGTGCCAGCTGGACTGTGTGGCACCAGACGCCCTGGACGCCCTGCTTGAGTTCGCCTACACTGCCACGCTGACCATCCCTAGCTCAGGGATGAGAGATGTGCTCCGAGGGGCTCAGCTTCTGGGCATTCAGTGTGTGGCTGACGCATGCAGAGACATCTTGGGGGAGAAGGCCGAGGCCGAAGGCGAGACAGCAGAGGAGCAAAGGTCACAACACATAGCTACAGAGAATATGGTGCAAGAACAGAGCAGGGTAGATAAAGGATCGCGAAGAAAAACAGACAGAAAGAAGGTGAAAAACATGATACCAATCTACATCAACTCATCGTTTTCGAACCCATCACCTGCTTCGCCCATTTCCCACCCATCCCCCGCATCAGACAGCATCCGTTCCCAGCCGTTCACCCTGCCTCCAAGCCCAAAACAGGAGGAGCTTGACCAGAAAATAGTCCAGAATGGAGGTTCCAGGATGATCAGAGAGCCGGGAAGAGGGGCCTCACTTAACGGAGGACTCTTTCACTGGCTGCATGAGCGTCCCCTTGTAGCCCACCCATCTCCTGTTTCATCTTTGAATGACAAGCTGTCAGAGGACGACGACGTTGAGGGCTGTGGCGATGATGCAATGCTGATTGGAAGTACCTCCATACCTACCTCTGCATCTGATCGGGGAGCAGCTGCAACCGCGGCAGGAGGAGGGAGGAAGAGGAAGTCTCAGACGCCCCAGCAGTGCCCCGTTTGTCAGAAGATCATCCATGGGGCAGGAAAACTGCCCCGACACATGAGGACCCACACTGGAGAGAAGCCCTTCCAGTGCTCTGCCTGTGGAGTCCGCTTTACCCGGTACAGTAGATTAATCCCATTTTATCCACCTATCTCATAATACCTGCTGTTTAGATATAGAGCAGGCCAAACTCACGTTAATAATATTCACAGAGACCCAACATTGATTCACTATGAGAAAGCTATTGGCGACACTGACAAGTAAAAAAACAATGTTTGGCTCTGGTGAACAGTTACCTGCCACAACCAGCTGAGAGAAGAAATTGTACTAGAGAAAGGAAGAGTACTTTACAGACAGGGAGACAGTAAGACAGCATTAAAACAACTCTTCCACATCTAATATCTGTGATGGATCAATTGTGTTGAGTTGAGTAATATGCAGAATTATTGCATCGATGTTTTGTTGCCTACTGTTTTCTATATGCCTCTTCATTTTCTCACCCGTCTCTTCTGTAGGAATGACAAGTTGAAAATCCACATGAGGAAACACACAGGTGAGCGCCCCTACCCCTGCCCAAGCTGCCCTGCCCGGTTCCTCCACTCATATGACCTCAAAAACCACCTGTCCCTGCACAGCGGGGCAAGGCCCTTTGAGTGCCCGCTCTGCCACAAGGCTTTTGCCCGAGAGGACCATCTTCAGCGTCATCGCAAGGGACACAGCTGCCTAGAGCCGCCCACACGCCGGCCCAAACGCAAGCCTGATGCCTTTGAGGATGGTAGTATGAACGGAGATGGGAGGGAGCAGTCCAGGCAACTTGAGGCTGTGTCCTTACAGGCCCACTCCTCAGCGTTCCTTCCTCGCGTGTTGCTGGATGGTGGGAGTGGGTCTGGCACTGGCCCTCCGCTGATGTTTCCAAGTGACATTGAGAGGCGGTCTTTCGCCCTTCAGACTTTGGCTCAATTCGAACCTCGCAGACTGGCTAGCTACCCACAGCTCTTCCTGCGAGGTCTTGACCTGCGGGAGGGCAGAGAGGCGGAGGAAGAAGATCCAGGAGAAACCCACTCACCCGCTTCGCAGCGTGATCGATGGGCAGATGAAGTGGAGGAGGAAATTGGAGAAGATGAAGTGGAGGAAGAGGAATAGTGAGAAGAGTGTGTGTGTGTGCGTAGACATGTGTGTGACTGTGTGGTAAAGTATCCACAATAAAAAAAAAAATCTAACTCAGGTGGCTGGACTAATCCTGCTGCTCCCATATAGAGAGCGCTTACAAAAGAAACTAGTAAATGAATTTAAAAGAAAAAAAATGGAAACGGGTTTTCTGAGATATCTTAAACTTTTGACTCCTGGCTTTAGTTCTTTTGTCTTCTTCATTTTATTTCTCCTTTGCTGTATATTTTTTCATGTATTACATGTTTGCGCTGTGTGATTTGATTTTCTAGCTTGAGATGTGTGTGTTGAGTGTGTGTGTGGTGCCTGGGATGCTTTACACTATGCAAATCAAAATCCAGAGCTGCAATATAAAGGGATATTTGAAAATGTATATTTTAGTTACAATAAATATGTATAGATTCAGGTGCAATTCAGAAGTAATATCACCTAGATCACAAGAATGAGTGTGCATGCACTGACCTCTGGTGGTTATCAGTGGAAGTGCAATCTAATTAATCAAACTTATTATGTACATGGTAGGCAATGTTGTTTTTTGTTTTTTTTCTGTCAGTGGTGGAAACTTTGCTTTAATTTGGTGCTTTAACCAAAGAATATAATGAATCTGTTGTCTTACATCTTAGGTTATATGAGGAGAGAGGAGAATTGTAGCCAATGTTGGGGTTGAAAAGAAGTTTCTCCCCAACTGTTTTGAAAGCCATGAGAAATGATCTTTGTTTCAGAGCTGGTGGAGCTCTGTGTTAAATGCCTGACCAAAAGAGACAAAGTCTGGGTCAATGAGTTGATGCTGGTTATGTTCAAGACTATTCCTATTTTCCCTTAAGACTAGATGTTAGTCTTCCAATGCACTCTTTTGGGTTTGTTGTTTAAAAAAGAAAAATAGAAAAGGTGCAAGGCGAGGGGATGAATGAAATAGTTTGCCCTTTGTTTTCTGAACTTATTTATTTATTGTTATTTATTGCAACTGTTCTGCTTAAATTCCTTACTGAGACCAATTCCAGGGTGGGACACAGTCCACTCCTCAACTAAGTTTTACGAGAAGCTGCGTTGCGCTTACAGATTTTTGGCTCCATACACCTTAATGCCTTTTTAAGGGAATACATGTCTCTTATTTAGGCGAGTCTTCCTCAAATGCATTCTTTGCACATTTAACCTCGTCAGGTACTGCAATAATTCAGGCACATTCCATCCTCCAGGGAACAGAGCAAAGAAGTCGACAGATGTAAAAGAAAACAAAAAAAACGTCCATGTAAACGGAACACAAGGGATACTGCTGTTAGACATTTCAGCATGGTTTCCTGTTGTTAATTCAACATGTACAGTACTGTATCACATGCTATTGCATGGCAGTTCTTATAGATTAGCCACCATGTGTCCAAAGGGGCCATTATCTTTTGAGTTTAGTTTTCTTTGACCAAAAACTTTGTAGTTGAATCTTGAATTCTCTGGACCAGTACATTAGGGTTTATTGCAGGGTCTAATGCAATCATGAATGGCTTTAAATGATAGCAGCTGTCTTTTTCCATACCATATATCCTTGAAACACATGTAGTCAGAACCTTGTGTAGCAGTCGTGCTAATCTGGCTTTGTGTGCACTATCCACTCCTTGTTGTGTATTTTTATTTCAGTTTATTTGCACTATGAGATTTGAGAGCTTTGAGCCTTTTTTGTTTGACCGTCATTATCTAATCCATTAACTCACCTGATTAAGATTGTGATTGAAACAGTAAATCTTCTTTAAAACCCTCACATTTTGAATATTATTCCACCTGCATAATAATACAGAGTTCTAGTCACTATAATGTATATTGGGATGAAGTTGCCTTAGTTTTTTTTTTGTGCTTCAACTATTCTCAGGAAACCTTGAGCAATGCACTAAGTGATTTTAGAAAATATATAAATGGGAAGAAAACGTCTGGTGCTGTAGGACAATCAACACCCTTCATGTTAGCATAAGGCCAGGAACCTCAAAATAGGATATTTTGTATTGTTTGACGTTTGAAAATCAAATGATTTAAACCATTTGTGAGACAAAAAAAAGGTGGATAATTGCTGAAGCGCTATTGGCCTTCCAATAACCAGTCCTACTGGAATGACAGAATGGCAGTTGGGCTTGTTCCTGAAGGGTGTTGTTTTCCCCAGTCGTAGCTTTGTGAAGGAATGAGGTTCATCTGATGCCAGCTGTGAAGTGTGTGTTTCTATGTGAGCTCTTATTCTTTTGGCTTTGGTGAAGGGACATGGGGTCCAGTCTGACCAGGGACCCCGCTATCAGGGATACATTTTTTTTCTTTCAGTTTTTAGTAAAAACCTTCTCAGTGATATGAATCATTTCCCCATCATTTGTTTCAGTTAATGCAAAGAAAATAAATAAAGACCTCTATGCTTGCTATTCTCTGTTTCTTTCATTTATTTATATAATGCAAAAGAAAAATAATGCTTTAATACCTGGTGACTGATCAGCACTGGATTCATGATTCTGACATCTATATAGAGTCCAGTTTCTTTATTCTTTTTAAATAGCCGGGCCTAAACGTACAGTTTTAGTAAATGGAGAGGGGGATTGGGAATTGTGCTCTCTGGTGGACTAACTGTGAAATGGGAACATAACTATAGCCTACTTACATTTCTTACTTTTCACTGGCTAAGCAAAGATCAGGCAGGAACATATAACTAATCTAATTATGGTCAATAAACCTTTGAATTTACACTGTTCATTGTATTAATCTTGAAGCAGGGCAACTGAAATGACTTTTCAGATTTAAGCAGGAGCTAGTTGCTGTGCTTTTCTATAACTTCAAAATGTCTCCATAAAGGCTTTTCGTCAAACTAAGCAAATGCAATACAGGCACAACCCTAAAGCTTGTATTGCCTTTTTTTAATTTTCTGTAAATTTTCCCAATAATAATGATAAATCCCACTTTAAAAGATACATAAATTCCCTGTTAATTGTGCCCAGGATTCTACTAATTCACTGAGTAGATACAAAGATATGATATGTAGATATACCTACCTGTCTGACGTCGTGAAGCTAGGGCAGGATGTGACGTGGGTTTGTTAATCCTCTTAGTTTAATTAATCTGAACCTGCAGGCACACACTGCATCTCAGAGGTTTCAGAAACCGATCTTTGGTTAAAGCAGAAGTCCACCGGAGACTCGGAAGGAGCAACTTCGGAGTTTAAAATAGTTTGAATTGAGTTGGAGGTGTTAGTTTTCTCTACGGGTTCCAGCAAGGATGCTGCCGCGGCGGATGATGTGGGGAGCTGTGGTGCGGCAGGTCACTCCGCGTCTGACCTACAGCACCGCAGCACAGCCGCAGGTAGGCCTTTCTAGTTTTAGTAAACTGCAAAACTCTGGTCTACATGATCGATTATTTACAGAACCTTTCCTTTTTCCTTTTTTTTTTTTAAGGAACCACATTCACTAAACGAAACATGAATATGATCCAAGTTTTTAATAAGCTATTGTAAAATTTGTTTTAAAAACAATTCATTTTTGGGCTTAGGTAGACTATTAAATATTGTTAAAATATATATAAAACATTTCATTTAATGTGCTATAAAATGTATAACACCAATTGTTTGAATTAGAATAGAATAGATATTTATTGTCATCGCTATGAAAACAACGAAAGGCAGTTCTGCAGCTCTGTCAGTGGCTGCAATACCAGTATGAGTTCCACAATATCACATAGGCAAAAAGTACTTTTATAACTACTTTTACTGGTATTGTAGAAATTGAGCCCAGCATGAATTTTAACTCAGCAAATCAAATTTCTTGCACTCAGAACAAATGGTCTAACAATTTAAATTAAATAATAGACTTGTGTTTAGGACACTTTAAATGTTAAATTCCATCAATTGAAAAGAAAGGCAAAGTTTTGATCAGTGAATAAAGATGAATGAATTTTTTATTGTCCTAAATGCATTTTAATTTGTAATATTATGTCAGCTATATTTATCAACAACTGATAAGAATACAAGGAGTTTATGAATGGATGTGTTTGTTGCCAAAAGGTTTTTAAACTATTTCGATAAGAGATTAATCCTTCATTAAAACACTAAATGTTTTCGGATGTGAGAATTTGATCCTCTTCTTTAACATTAATAAAAGTAAAATGGTGGATTTGGCTTTTTGTTGGTCATACAGAATGAAATATTTGAAGAAGCCACCATTGACTGTGAGAGTTAAACAGGAGCTTTTACTCTTTGGACATGTTAAAGATAAAACATTAAATTAAAACATTTTAAGGAAATCCAGCATATGAAAAGTCAAAAAACAGTCACATGTTAAATCATTGGTTCCCAACCTGGGGTCCAGGCCCTCTAGGAGGGGCTCAGCTTTTCTTGGAAACAAGTGGGGAGGGGCTCCAAGGAAAAATGGTTGAGAACCCCTGCCTTAAATGTTGGTAATCTGTTGATCGTTCTCTCTGTTGGAAGGTAAAGCCAAAAAAGACCAAGTTTGGCCCCTTAAGTGACCAAGACCGGATATTCTCTAACTTATATGGCCGGCATGACTGGAGGTAAAGTGAAAAGCAGAAATGTCAACCTCTTTTGAAAGACTTTAAAGTCGTTATAAGGAAATCTCTTTCTTACTCTTTCTTTCTACCAGACTCAAGGGATCACTCAAACGAGGGGACTGGTATAAGACAAAGGAGATCATACTGAAGGGACAAGACTGGATCCTAAATGAGGTGAAGATCTCAGGGCTACGAGGTAGAGGAGGGGCGGGCTTTCCGACTGGCATGAAGTGGAGCTTCATGAACAAACCAAGCGGTGGCAGGTAGGAACAGAAAAAAAATAAATAAATAAACTATCAAGATCTGACCCATGAGTGGCACTGAAGGCAGGGCAACTGTCCACACTATTGACATACTGGTGATGTATGAGTGCATTTCTGCGTCCCAGACCCAAGTACCTGGTGGTGAATGCAGATGAGGGCGAACCCGGAACATGTAAAGACCGTGAGATAATGCGTCACGACCCCCATAAGCTGATAGAAGGCTGTCTGCTCGCTGGGGCAGCTATGGGTGCTCGTGCTGCGTATATCTACATCAGAGGAGAGTTTTACAACGAGTCATCCAATTTACAGGTACACAAAGGCTTACACAAATGGTTTGACAATCCATATGTGCTGCCTATTGTATACTATGTGTTTCTATTTCTACTCTTTAAACAGGTGGCTATTAATGAGGCCTACAAGGCCAAGCTGATAGGGAAGAACGCATGTGGGTCCGGGTACGGCTTTGATGTGTTTGTGATGCGAGGAGCGGGAGCCTACATCTGTGGGGAGGAGACGGCCCTTATCGAGTCTCTGGAGGGAAAACAAGGGAAACCTCGGCTCAAGCCGCCTTTCCCTGCAGATATAGGTGAGGTAAAAGCCCCTACATGCACTTCACTCATGGTTCATTTTGGTTTAACAAACTGCAAAATAGTGTTTAAGTGAATATAAGGGGTCATCACTACTTTTCTCTACCTTCCTTTAGGCGTTTTTGGATGTCCAACGACCGTTTCCAATGTAGAGACGGTTGCCGTGGCACCTACAATCTGTCGTCGAGGCGGGGCTTGGTTTGCAAGCTTTGGGAGGGAGAGGAACTCTGGGACAAAGCTGTTCAACATCTCCGGTCACGTGAACACACCGTGCACAGTGGAGGAAGAGATGTCCATTCCTCTGAGGGAGCTAATAGAGAGACACGCAGGTGTGTGTGTGTGAGTGTGTGTGTGTGTGTGAGTTTACAGTCTGACTCTGTGTCGATGTTTCTTCACTGTTACGAGATGTCAATGACTTCCTCTCTCCCCTCTCATGTGATTGGTGCAGGAGGAGTGAGGGTGGCTGGGACAATCTATTAGGAGTGATCCCAGGAGGGTCCTCCACTCCCATCATCCCCCGCCATGTGTGCGATGATGTGTTGATGGATTTCGATGACCTGGTCCGTGCTGAGACTGCATTAGGAACTGCTGCTATCATAGTAATGGATAAATCGGTAAAGAAAAAAAACCTGTGCATATAAAACACATTGAAACTTAAGTGACAATCAGTCCAGAAAGATTATATTCATGTTATCTACAGACTGATGTGATCAGAGCCATTGCACGTTTGGTGGAGTTCTACAAACATGAGAGCTGTGGTCAGTGCACCCCCTGCAGAGAGGGTAAGGAACTGCATAATGGATTTGACACCTGAACTAGGAAGTTATTTATTCCCCCACTTTGTCAGTGTCCCTTTCTATCTTCAGTGGGATAGCAAAATTGAAATTAAAGTTCCTGTACACCAATTTAAAGCTCAGTTTAAGAAACTTCTGTATTGTAACATTTAAATGGGTCTTAAGGGTCAACATTTTGACTACTTTCAAGGGTATTTTAGAGAAGAAAACCTTCATTTAGGTTGGGCTCCTAGTTTAAGAGAGTCAGTTGAGTGTATGTTTTATTCACCTTTCTCTCCCTGGGTCCTGTGCCTCAGGAGTTGACTGGATGGATAACATGATGTGGAGGTTTGTTCGGGGAGAAGCAGCAGTTTCAGAGATCGATATGATCTGGGAGCTCAGCAAGCAGATAGAAGGACACACCATCTGTGCACTGGGGGACGGAGCTGCCTGGCCTGTGCAGGTGACAAAATCTCTTGATTTTTTTTTGTGGTTAACAGTCCAACAGAGGATGGTCTTTTTAAAGTTGTCTTTTTTTCAATGACAGTAGTTTCTTAACTTTTCTTTTTTCATGTACAGGGACTGATCCGTCATTTTCGGCCAGTCATGGAGAGACGCATTGCACAGTATAACCAGAAAAACCCTCAGAGAGAGCCAGACATCGAGATGATATGAAACTCTACAGATGTCCTTTTTGACACTACCAAAAATATTATCATCATCATTTTATGCTGCTGTGAGATGATTTGTAAGTTTTTGTTCCTAACAGTTTACACTACATGTGGTGCTGCCTGTTGACAGCTACCTGGCAGAGCCGACAGACTGGATGTGTTATAATTATTCCTTTGCGAAATGTGGCAGAAAAGTCTGTAAGAGAATGCATGTAACACAGAAACAAACGATCAAACAAGCAATAAATTAAGTTTATTTATTTCATAAAAGAATGAAATAAGTTTCATTTTTTTACTACACGCAAGTCAATTTCATCTGTACAAAAAGATTGGAATAGAAAAGGATGGTGCCACAGACCGGTGCAGGGAGGGAGTGACGAATTAGGACTTTGGATCAAATTAAAAGTGATAGTGATGTTTGACACCATGGCCTTATGTTAATATTTTCTACTAAGACATTAAGCCCTTTGCAGGCCTTGAGTTTTTAAATATTTTCAAAATAAAACTGGTGGCAGAAATCGCCCTTTAAACAACCACACAGTAGTTTGTGGCATCAGTCCTTCAAATGTTCAGCTTTA